TTCGCACCCCCCACCAAATCGGAACACCGAAATCAAGGCAGGATGTTTGGACCCCCTGAGACTATGTAAGCTGAGGCTGCCAATCAGGATACCACAAATTTGAGCGCTTGTGGTGGGGCCTAAAGCGGCGGCTTAAAGAGGGGAAAGGTCATGTGGGCGCGTACTGTGCGGGCCATCTTGGCCTTGTAGTAGAGACTTCTCCGACCCTCACATTTTTTACATTTCGGAGCTGGGTCCTCCAAGTATGGCAAACTTTTCTTCCAAGCATGGTAGAAGGGTCACAAACCTGCGGCCGTGTACAGTGTGTGCTTCTGATTTCCGACACAGTTGAAACTGATGGCATCCAATGATCATGTGCAAAAATCCCAGCGGCAATGCGCGTAGCCCGCCGCTTTGAAGGCCATGTAGAGTGCCCCTCAATTTTTTTGAACCCCTGCCTCGTCGGTGAACCCCCCTTCCGTGACAGCGCTCAGGGCTTTTCGATTCAGGAATCAACCTCATGACCCGAATTTAAGTCGCGCTTTTGACATTGTGAAGCAAGAGAAATCACGTGATCGTATACCCATGATCAAGGACGGCTCGCTCATCTTAGACGTTTCCTCTGGAATTCTTTATTGCCGTAGAAGAATAGTTAAGTCAATTACCAGGCCAGGTTTTCACAGGCTGTCATGGACTGTCGATAAGAATTTCTTGTGACTATTGTATCAGCAGAATGAAGGCCTTATCTGTCCTCTCTGTAAAATGCAAAGTCGGATTGGGGGTATGGGGATCACGTGATGAAGCTCACAAGTGTGCGTTTGTATATCCAAGGCCGCTGGCATTACGCAATCAAGAATATTAAGTAAAATGGCAGATTGTAAATACTTCGCCGCACTGGAAAAAAGTGCCATTTTACCCAATAATATGATATAGTGTTCTACCACATTGGAGATGTCTTATAGCGGGTTTCCATGGTTTTTTTTAGCAGAAATGGCCAGGACCTGATGACAAGAGCCTTATTGCATATACCGTTTTGTGCTTGCATGACACCGCAGAGGCTGCATACGGGGTTGGAACAAGCGCTGAAGCACCGTGTCCACACCGTTTCGAGAGCATGAAAGCAGCAGCCGTTTTGAGACCATCTCCCCCATGAAACCTGAAGATGCATGTGTATGTAGCCCCGCTATGACAAACCGCCACGTGATATTACAGTTAACATCAGTTCCAGCCCCGAGAGCCCAAGATCGGCTTCTATTCAAAAATGCCCCGTGGAAGGAAATCAACACCCGGATTGCCACTGCGCTGGAGACAGTCCCAACGGAGGGCACAGTACAAGAGAGGACGGATAGGCTCATGTCAGTAGTGCAGGAAGCGGTAGAGGATCTAACCCCGAAGGCCAAACCTTCGCATACGCGAAGAGGTGGCGGACGACAGACCTCACACAGCCCCGTCGCATCCACACAAACCGGAGGAACCGGGCACGCTCAGCGAGACGGTGGGTCAGATCAATGACGCGTTGGAGACACGGCCGAAGGAGCGGCAAAACAGTTTCATGATGCTATTCGGCAGCAGAAGAAGACCCACTGGAACGATTTCCTCGTGGACAACGACAATATCTGGAAGGCTGCGAAGTATCTGAAGTCTGGCGATGAAGCAGCATTCGGCAAGATACCGCAGCTAGCGAGGGTGGACGGTACCCACACTATCAACGCCAACGAGCAAGCAGAAGAATTACTCACCACCTTCTTCCCTTCCCTACCAGACTACATCGAAGAGGAAGGGGAGAAACCCCAGCGTGACTCGGCCGTCACTATGCCGGAGGTCACAATGGAGGAAGTCGAGCGCCAGATTTTCGCGACGAAATCGTGGAAGGCACCTGGTGAAGATGGACTACCGGCTATGGCCTGGAAGCAGGTATGGCCTGTCGTCGAACACAGAGTCCTGGCAATTTTCCGCGCATCACTGGAACAAGGCGTGCAGCCTGACCAATGGAAGCATGCCAAGATCATCCCATGCAAGAAACCAGGCAAAGGAGACTACACCAGCGCCAAGGCGTGAGGGCCTATCTCACCCCTCGCCACACTTAGCAAGATTATTAAATTAGTTATTACTAAAAGAAGTTTGATATATAGTAGAAACCTACAGCCTACTGCCTGTAAACTACTTCGGAGCCCTAAAGCAGAGGTTAGCTAGATAAGCATTAATTTTACTGTAAGAACAGATTTATACAGCATAAAGAGGTCGCTAGGTTATCAGCCTTGTAAGCTTAGACGTAAAGGGCGCCTATAACGGAGTATGTAAGGAGAGACTAGTTCAAAGAATAAAAGCCAGGGGCATTTCGGAGGATCTCCTTTACTGGGTGGAGGCTTTCTATTCTAACAGGACAGTAATGATCCAAGTTAATAGCTATGCATCAGAACCACGGAGTTTACCTCAAGCTAGTCTTCCAAAAGGCTCCCCTCTGTCTCCAGTCCTTTTTCTATTCTTCAACGCTGACCTCATCTAAAAAAAGATAGACTGGTGCGGGGGGCTATTACCTTCGTCGACGACTTCACGGCGTAGGTCGCTAGTTTAACAGTAGAGATAATAGCGTACTGGCGTGGGAAAGGAGAAGTAGCGTAACATTTAAAGTAGAGAAAACAGCGGTGATCTACTTTACCGGAAAGCACACAAGTCCGAATCAGAGCCTTTCATCATTAAGGGACTAGCGGTCCATCCGACAGCCTATGTTAAGATCCTCGGAGTTATAATGGATGCAGGGCTTAGATTCAGGGAACATATAGCGAGACCGGCGTCCAAAGGACTTAAGGCTGTAATAGAGCTAAAGAGACTTCGAGGCCTAACCCCCGCGACAGTGTGATAGCTATTTACGGCTACCGTGGCACTGGTGGTAGACTACGCGTCGAATTTTTGGATACACAAATCCAAAGACTGAGCGGCAGCAGCAGTCAATTAAGTCCAAAAGGTCAGAGCGCAGGCGATTATAGGAGCGTTCATCACTATTGCCATAAGCGTAGCAGAGGCGGAAGCTCATATCACCAGTACACTAGAGCGTTTCATGAGCAGGGCCATAAAGCTGTGGACCGACCTCCATGCTTTACCCCAAACGAACCCCTCCGTAGGACGACGTCACGGATACGAAAGTTTCGACGATTCCACTGTTCGCCGTTCTACCACCTGGCGACCGCGCTCAATGAGATTCCGATGGAGGAGCTGGAAACGGTCAACCCATTCACACTGTCACCGTGGACAGAGAGAATACAGATCATCACCGAACACAATGACCACGCAACATCGACGCGAGCCGACGATAATGCTACGGTGCGCATCGCTGTCAGTAGCTCAGCACGAAATGAGTTGGTTAGGGTCGGTAGAGCTATTGAGGTGCCAGTTTTGACACCCGAGACGTTCTCATTCACCCACAGCATGAGGACAGATCAAAATACGTCCTCTGGAGAATTAGTTGCGCGGCGTACGCGTTCGGTTTCTGCCAAACCTTAGAGCGCAGAACGTGGCGTTACTTACGAGCAACAAAGCCGTGGTGCAGACGCTTCGAAACCCCCGCCAACAGTCCGGCCAAGAGTATGTTCGCTGCATCTACGAGGCGGTTACTCGACTTCGAGAAACCGGGAACACCATTGCAGCCGTTTGGCTTCCTAACAGTCTTGAGAACGGCCTCCTGAAGAAAGCCAAAATAGAAGCGCGCAAGGCTAGCCAAGAGGGTGCCTCGCTAGAAAAACAGTTCCCAAGATACAGTCCACCACCCTTAATACTGCGAGGCGTCAACTGCGGGTAGAGAGGCGACTCCGGAAAATGGTGGAAAACTCTCCAAGGAAATTGACAAAGTTACCCGGCAAACATACCCGAGATTTATACGACAACCTTTCCTAGACAGAGGTAAGCATGCTAGCCTAGCTTAGGACAGGCATGTCGAGGTTGAATGCATCACTCTTCCGAATCAGAGTAGTCCCCTCACCTCAATGCGCGTATGGATACCTGAATGAAACGGTTGAGTACTTCCTCCTCCGATGCATACGATGGGCAACACAACGCGCTGAGATACTTCTACGACCTGACACACAAAGAGACAACATCTCCTTCCATCTGGGAGGAAAGACGACAGCAGATGGCGACGACTGAAAGACAAACATGAAAGCTGTGCCAGCTAAGACACGCTTCGCGAAGGCCACGGGCCCATTGGATAATGCGTGATCCTTAATAAGAACCCAATGCACCAACGCCCTCTTCCTTTCTACTAACCCAAACCACAGTCACCTCGTGCCGATAACAGCAGGCGCCACTTCAGTCGCTGTAGATAGGACTCTGAACACTTGAAGAATAGCCTTCCAGCAGCTCGCTTGAAAACACTAAAACCCACGAGAAACCGGCGGAAAGGCGGAGCACGACAAAGCGAGACCGAGAAGAGAATTCTGTATGGGCTTTCGAAAATCTAGAGAACCCTCAGGAAGTAACCATATACGATAGAATATAGTGCCTGATTAGCTTTAGGCCACCAGGCATAATAAACTTGTGTGTGTGTGTGTGTGTTATAGTTAGAGTCGCTGGCTGATATATGCAAGACAACCGGGCTTAGAGCGATCATCTATCAAGAGGCGTTTAGACTAAAAGAAGACGTGGTAAGATCTCCATGGCTAAACATCTGCAATTCACCTTGACTAGATGAGCCATAGGTTCAGAAACCTTCGCCGACAACGGGCAGACAATCGAACATAAATAGCATATCGAAATCCTTGGCGTAATCCTTGTCATTGGGTACCTGTCAGGTCCAGGACGGGAAACACATTGCCAGATTAGCGACCAAGGAATCAGGAGTCTTGTTGGAGCTGAATCCGCTGGCAGATCCGCAGTGGCAGATTCGCTGTTACGGTGGTCACCGGTGGTACATTACACCTCCAATGTCAAGAGGCACGAAGTACCGGATCACAGCAGCATTCAATTATGTACAAGAGAACCGGGCGCAGGCGATCATAGGAACATCCTCGAGTCGCCACGAGCGTAACCGAGGCGGAGGCTTACCTTACCAGCCTAAAGGAATGACTCTAGGCAGACATCTATATACTACCAGCTAGAGGCAAGCCTAATCCGCAACTAACTAAGCGGAAGTACATATTCCCATAACTCCACTGCCCCCATTTAAGAGCCGGCTACTTCACTTGAGTAGTATTAATGAAGCATCTGAGAATCATCGATCCGATCAGGGTAGCGCCCTGGATGTATCGTGTTGGGCTAAATAGAACCCGTTCTCGGGAGAATTGGCAGCTACTACGCACGAGCCAAGGTTTTTGCCTAATTGTTGTAAGGATGGCCTATAGCCTCCGCCTCTCCCCACTACTAGGCGTCTACTAGTAGACTATGTGGGTACATCGACGAATCCACCGAATGACTGCGAGAAGATGGAAATGCGAAGTCCGGTCTGGCGCACGGCAATCCACGAGGACCGGCTGCTGAAGTCAGGGAAACAGGATTCCCGAAGATGCGATGCAATGTCCTCGGTACCGCAAAAGCAAAGCCACGCCCAGAAAGCCGCCTGTCGGACCACGTCGGAAAACACTCTAAGGAGATCGACACAGCCTAGGAGGCAATGTAAGAAGTCTATGACAAGTACCTGGATGGAAGCAAGCGTTCTGAACCAGCTGAGCAAGGGCACATCAAGACTGAATGAGTTTGTCATTTGGATCAAGGCGATACCATCACATCACGTGCATGCAGACAGGGAACAGAGACAGTAGAACGCCTTCATCTTCGATGTGTGCAATAGGCAACACGACACAGTGAGATCCTCCAATACACTGACGTGCATAGTGATCATGTCTCTTTCCACCAAGGAGGAGACCCAGTATCAGACAGACACTATTGGAAGCCAGACATGAGAAAGGTCCAAGTCATGATACGATTCATAAAGGCCAATGGCCGACTGGAAAACACGTAATCCCCAGACATGGGCCCAACACATTATCCACTTCATTAACCCCACTCAACTTTGTACCACAGAGAGCATGCGCCAGTCAAGCCTATGGACTCTGATCACTAGGAGAGTTGCCCTCAAGTATGCCTGCTAATACAACCAAAAGGTACCTGCGGAGCCCTGGAACAAGGGGTTTTAAGGGCTAGGATAGGGGCTCGAGGCCACGGAGGCGTATATATCAGGGGCTGCGGATGGCCCTTTATCAGGACCTATGGATACTACGAGGTTGACCGGGGATCGCCTACTGTTTGGTCGTAGAAGGCCAGGGGAAGGGACCAAGCGTAGCGAGGAGCTAGTTCTAAGGAGAGCTAACGGTTCACATATCGAGGAAGGGCATCGATTATTCTACCTATCTAGAGACCCCCAAGAGATCAACAGTTGACCTTCACTCGTCGCGAGACTCCTCTGACACCCTCCCAGCTGCGGAGGGCCAGATTTCAGATGTATTCCTATTGCCTACCTAACAATTGAGTGCGGATATCACCGTCGGAAGACCTCTTCACTCTGTTACTAACCCGCTTTGACACAAAATCTCAGAACACGAGCGAATGGCGGAAACGGAGGAGGCAAGGATTAACTGAGTATCTTATGGGCTCTTGAGACCTTAAGTCATCCCGAAGGAAGAGGCCATATACACAACAGATAGTGCTATATTGGTCTGCACGCCACCAAGTGTGAAAAGCAGGTGTATGTGATGACACAGAGAAAGACTGAGTTTTGCGCGTTGGCACACGCTGGCCTCCGAGTCCCCGAAGCTTAGCTGTGAGTTACGGTGCATAATACGAACTGAAAACTTAAATTTCGGAAGTCGTTGTTGGCCTCGAATGAGCGAGCTGGGCGATCACACCAGAGGTTGGATACCACTAAAGGGCATCGTTCAAGTTAACTTGTCGCATGTTGAAAAGCCAACTGCGCCTCTTCAATTTCAAATTAGCCGTTTTCTCATGGCAAGCGAGGAGGGCAATTATATAAAGTGAATGAAAACGCTTTCTTTGATGCTGCTAGCTCTCTTGCATAGTACAGTGTGTACTGGCCACACACCTCGTCCTACCCTCCACTTTACCTCTTGCCTTGCACCACTATGAGGGTCATCACTATAGCTATAAGCTGCCCCCTGCCTGATTGGGCCACATTGGAAGAGTTACAGGACCACAGTAAGCGTCTAGGTGGTAAATACCATAAGAAGTTGACCTCCCACACCAAGGTG